AAGCCGCTTAATTACTTGGAAGAACTTGTGTGGAATATTATGAAATATTCTAGGATCAATTGAGATGAAAGTTGTGACTTGCAAAAGTATGGCTTGTTCATTATTGATGATTGTAGTAGCACGTGAAAAGGAAATTGTCATTCTCATTTTATAGTGACATTTGGGACTGTTCATATGCATAGGACAAATGTTGGAAGAAATCCAACTATTTGTTGAAAGTATATGAATTTTCATGATTATTCATTTTACTAAAATTTGAAAAGATATGGCAAATTATAGTTAGTTGAATTTTCATATCTTGTTGAAAATTATCATAATTTTGATGATAACCTCACTTAATTTGATGAGATGATTTTACAAATTATGTTTACATTAGAGCATGATTAAATTATGATTTTGTCCAAATGGATATTAAGCCATATTAAGCCCCTTAGAATTGTATTGTATATTTTGTGAATACAATTTTCAATCTGTGTTTTGATTTACTTATTCAAGTTGAAATATAGTGAATTGGTATCCATGATTCGACAAGAATGTTATCTTGTGAAATATCATAAATTTGATTAATTGTATGTGTGGTGAAGTTGCAATTTCGTGAATCAAGACGCTTAATCCTTTCATTATATCATACTACACGGTTGAAACCAATTGAGTTGGTTTATGCTTGAAAAGCATTGTTGGTCTATGAGATGACCTTGATCAGATTATATATGATCAAAATGAAAGATGGTAGGATAGAAGCAATTTGTGACTTAACGACCACTAGTTTGAAAGTGGGATAACACAAAGCATTCAATGAGGACATTATCTACTTCATAAATGTATTGACCTATGAAAGAGTTGATGAACTCTAAGTTCAAAAGTATAACCCAAAAATGTGGGGGTTAACATCAATGCTTACGAACTCATATGAAAAGTTCAAGATTTGTGGATGCAACATTACTAGTTGCACATGCATTCCTAATTGAGGACTTGTGGGGGTAACTTAATTTAAAAAGTTACATTTCTCTATACCTCGTGGTAATAGAAGAATATTTATGAGGTGAAAATGTAACCCTTATACAATTATAAGGATGATATGCACTAAGTCTAAAGTGGATGATATGGGTTGAAAGCCAATTATGGCACTTGAATATTTGAAGAATATTCATAATGTTGAAGATCATTGTAATGATTCAATAATGAGAATTGAATACCCATACATAAGATCTACTAGTAATTTGTGATTGACTAGTGTAATGATTTGATAGAAATCCTCCAACCATGTTTGGAAGTAAATAAAGTTTTAGATAAAGCCAGTGAGAAGCATGTTGCTTCATAAAAAGATTTCATGGTGGTGACTATCTATTAAATGAATCGATCATTGGCTAGCTGAATTTAATAAGATACTAAGTCAAATGTAATGGAAAGTCTATACACGTGAGTCGAAGATATGATTACATAAGGAAATTAAGTAAGGGGAATAATTTCCCTAATTTATGTAATGTCGATTGAAAACTTGGCGAATCCTTTAACTAAACCTCTAAATAGAGATTTAGTGAATTCTATTTCAAGTAGGATGGGGTTGTAACTCTTGAACTAAAAAGGTCCACAGATGATAGCAACCCTACTTGTCATTACTCAAAAGGTAATTCACGAGTTCAAAGGATAACAATAAGTCATTCGATATGTTAATAGTTTCAGCATTATAAAATCCGCACTAATCCTATCCTAAATATGTAATGCTGGTTGTTAATGAATTGAGGGTTGAGCTTTAAGCTCTTAATAAAGTTCAGTACCAAGTACAAGTATCTTTAAAAGTAACAAAGATACTGGAAGAACTTCATCTAAACAAACTTCGAGGTGATGCGGCCTCAATAGAGAGTTAGAATTTCTCTTTTAAAATTTTGTTGAAAAATGATGAGTGCAAGGCCATGTTAGCGCTAAGCGAGTTGAGGAACTTGAGAAAACGTAATCCTTGTGTGTGTGTTCGAACCGGTATTTTCACAAAGAATAATTGGTTCAAAGCTTTCATGCTACCTTTAATTTCGACTTTACTTTGTTTGAATTACACTATGGTTAGATTCAAAACGAAAAGATATCTAATCCTTATGCATGAGTATTGTATATTTTGAATATGAGAATTTATTGAATTTTGAACAAGTGGGGATTGTTGTAAATGTTGTTCAAAATCAAAAATCGAAATTGGAATGAAAAATAAAATTACAGAAGGACTAGGGCACCCCTGCTCCATTATGAGGCGTGCCCACGCCCAATTGGAAGTCCTTCTAACCCGAGAATAGTATTGCCCCTGCGCTACCATGAGGTGCAAGGGCCGTTGGGTAGTTTTTTGGATTCAGTTTTGACAGCTTTTGGAGGGTATCTTGCAACTCTTCCATAAGTTTTGGCACCAATTCGTGGGGCATTGATCAAGGCCTATAAATAGGCTATAAGATGATCAACACAAACAATGAAAAACATGTAAAAACACTTGAGATCATTGTGATGATCATCATTCATTCCACAAAGAAAAAAATCAATTTTTTCTTCTTCCATATTCAAAATTCCTCCTTCATGTTCTTAAAGTTTTGAAGAATCATGCAAGTGCTTGAGTTTGAATTCTCTACAAGATTTGCTCAATCCTTCAAACTGTTTGTCGCGAGACCCTTTAAGCACCGAAATCGTATTGGAGAAGGGGCAAATATCGTTTTGAGGACAACGATTACGTGTTTGAGCCTTTTATCTTCTTCGAAATTGTTTGATCATATGCATCGAGTTTCTTCAATTCTTGCGTGGATGATCAAAGTCTACTAAAAGAGGAATTGAAATGTTCGGTAACATAAAGATAAGTTCATCTTCTTCTTTTGATGATTTCCATTGATGACTAAAAGTTTGATCATGATTTGATTCATCATGTTGTTGGTCTTAATTTCGATTTCTTCTCCATTTTCCTCATATGGAAAAATATTTACAACATTTTCTACATCACATTTTATATTGTATCACATGGCAACACACCATTAGACAATTAAAAAAAAAAAAAGAAACAATTTTCCCTTCAATCATCTTTAACATCACATCAAATGTCAACAAGGATGTATTATTGGAGTGTACATCTAGCATTTTTCCTTACAACATTGCTACAGTGATAGAGTCAACGATAGACTCAATGACAAAAGGGACACATGTCAATATATGGTTTGACAGTTTGAAAAAAAACACATACGCAATATCCAACCCCACACCACCACAATGCTTTGTCACCTCACCTTTTGTTATTGACCCTATCCAAGGAGCACTTTTCTTTACCCTGGAATGAAAGCTGCCACATTGCCTGTCCCACATGGGCCCTAGCAATGCCAAGGGGGCCAACACCCTTGTCAAATAAGACTTATTCACCGAAAATGTAGGTAGATCCAAGTTTCAACCTTATCCCATGACGTGTCGGAAAGTAATAAAGTTTGGGCCGAGCTGTCACCAGGTCACCTTCTCTTGTCTTGGCTATATTCTCCAAATTTAGCTCTTGGTCAGCCCGGCTTCACTATTTGGCTGGCTCACCAAAAGGCTAAATAACAAATCTTAAAATGCAAGTTAATAATTGTAAAGCATGTTTAAAATATATTATTATTTTTTCATTTTAAGCTATTAGTCCTAGTGATCCAATGTGTCAATTATCTAAGAATTTGACTTAGATAAGATAGTGGTATTTTCTTTTCTTTTCGTTTTTCCTTTGAAATTAACTTAATATATCATAATTGATATTTTATAGATTTATATATTCTTCACAAATCAAACAATAAATGTTTATGTTAATTACATGAACCCCTAGTGAAAAATTTAAATTGATAGGCATAAAATGTAGCAACATAATACTTCTATACCTATTGAATTCATAAAATACTATGGATTGTAGATGCACAATTTTAATAATTTTCATTTTACTATGTCCAAATTTGATAAGAATTAGGAGGATTTCAAAAAAATTCATTAGAAAATTTGATTGCAATAATCATTTTACTAATTGTTTTTACGTGAAGAATTAGCCGATGACTAAAAATGTAGTAGGTATTCGAATGAATAGTGCATTAACAAAAAATGCAAGAACAATAAGTGAAGGAGCTCGACCAATCCCTTGCTGAAAGATAAGCGGAAAGGGACATCTTGAACTCAGGGGGAAGGGACCTTAACGACAACAAAAGAAGTGCGTATCTCTTCGACCTTTTTACTTCACCAAATTTCGGGATTTAATCCCATGAAGATGATAATGAATTACTTCTATACGATTTAATCCTATCATAGCATAAGTACCAATAAAAATAAATTATTCAAATTTACTTGTAAACTCAGTCCTACATGCTAATAAATTTTATAGACGTTTGATTAAGCTCTACCAAAAATTAGAAATAAATAATTAATTATTGAATAGTTATTCAAATCACTTTTTATTCAAACATTTCATGAAACTTACAAGAATTACAGAGTTATTCGCCACTTATTTGTATCAATATTTTAATCAATTATAAACAACTCCCGAACATAATTTAAGTAACTTCTTTTTAAATTATAAATGAAAACCAATAACCATTAGACTATCGTATTTTCTGCACAAAATTGATTGGTTTATCTTATATATGTATTGTCAACATTCGCATTTCCAATAAATTTTCAGTGGCTTCAAACAAAGCCATATTAGCCGGAACCTTTCATTATCAAAACCCATAAACTTGTTTACCTAAATCCACCATTTCTTTCTCTATAAGAACCCTAATTTGTCTCTTCATTTTATCACAACAAAACCAGATTTCATCAAACAGTACTTAGTTTCTCTCCTCCCCTTTCCTTCGTTGTAACAGTCGTATATCAGGTGGTGCACCACCACCTTTTTCTCGCCTGAAACTGGTGAAACATCATCTTTTTTCGGTTGTTACAAAAGAAAATTTCGAATAAAAGATAAAAACTACAAAAAAAATAAAAAAATAAAAAATAAAAACAGTTTTTAATTCATTTTCTTTGTTAAAAGAATGGGTTTTCTTCACAAGCTTTGGGACGAAACGCTTGCCGGACCAACACCGGATTCCGGCCTAGGAAAACTCCGCAAAGACAACTCTTCGTCCGCTGCCGCCACTAGTTCCGCCGATGATCTGCCGTCCGTTGTCATTCCTCCACTACTTGATAGTCAAATCCCGATTTCGAGGAGCATAACTATTCTCCGAACCAACCCTGGCTCGCCGCGTAACCGTAATACTTCTCTTGACTCTGGATCGGTCCCGAATTCTCCTTCTGGTTCCAGCACTCCCACCTCGCCATTTTCACGTAAGAATTTAGTTTTACTACCTCTTGCATGGAAGTTTTGTGTTTCTATCAGTTAGGTAGCGTTTTCAAATTAGACGGAATCAATAATTCAGTATAAACTTAGAATAGATAAGGTGTATAGATACTTTTTGTCTCGTCGGGATTTTGCAGAGGCAAGACAAGGACAACCGTACAAGATTAAAATATTTACATTCATATCATCGTTTAACTATATTGGTTTTTCATTTTGGAAAATCAATTTTTATTTAAAAATCATAAAATAAACAAATGTAAATATCCACAGGCTCGAAGAATTCAAGGAGGGGTATTTTACCATCTATACTCAAAAGAATGTTATTTATGCCATTTATCTTACACGGTTTAGACTCATCTTTACGCTCGATTGACAATGCAAATTGCATTTTTTTTGATTAAAAAATCTAAGAACTTTAAACGACCATAATATTATCTAGCTATGACTATCAATTTTAATTTTATACTAAATTTTGTATACGGTTTAATACATTGTGCAAAGCGTGCTGTCTGTGTAAAATTTTTGAGGCAAATTTTTTATATTGGTTTTCTTGTTGGAGGCGTTTTAGCAAGTACCCCAGGTGGGAACTTTAAGAAATTGACGAGGAGAAAATCAACTTCGGCGTCAATGCGTCAATCTGATCCAAAGAGTCCAACTGGTTATGATTGGTTAGTTGTCTCTCCTTTTACTTTTTGACCTTACCATCCATTACGTATTACACAATATCCGGTCAACCAAGGATTACATCATGAACCGTGTTGTATGTATAGAGGTTTTGCTTCACAAAACCTCCACAGACAACATACAACGAGAGGGCGGAAAAAAATTTGAACCATTTTTTAATTAGGTCGGTTCGAGGTGGAACCCACCTCATGTGAGAGGTCGGTAAGACCTCCGTGAACGCCGTTTTTGTACACTTGGATTAATTCATTAAATCATGTACCAAAAATAATGTCAGATCAAATTTAGTTATTGTTAGAGCCTTATTTTCTAAAAGTCCATTTTTTTCTCAAATTCATTTTACATTCCCTAAATAAAATAATTTTTCATATAAGCCTAAAACATTTTCATACTTTTATTTTAACTAAACATTCTCTAAAAATTCACTATTACAAAACTTATTTTTACAAGATCTTAGTTCTTATGACCTAATGTAGTTGATCGCTAACTTATACAAACTTGTGTTGACAGGATTGTGCTAAGTGGTTTGGATCGTTGACTCTTAGGAGGGAAAAATGATAATTTTGTGAGGGTAAAATGGTCATTTTGTAAATAAAGAACCGTAATCAGTGTACTGTATTTAATCCTGTAATTCTATAATTCAACGTAGAATAAGAGAAGAAAAAGTAGGAGAGTAGGCATAGATTCAAGACTTTTGAGTCTTTGTATCCCTTTTTTTTTTTTTTTTNAATTCTTTTTTTTCTTTGTTTTCCTTTTTTTTTTTTTTTTTTTCCCATGAGCAGTTTCTTGACTCTTGTAAATAAACTTTTTATCTTTTCATAATCATGGGATTGTATATATGTAGAATAAATGTTATAGCGGTGATTCGCTGTCTGTAAATTCTTTCTAATGAAACTTTTGTTAAACTTTGTATTCCTTTTGATTGAAGCGTTCTTTCCCAGATTCCATTTCGTGGTACCATGAAAGTCATTGCAAGAATTTTGTTAGCTATGTGCATGTTTCAGAATGAACAAATAAAATAGAACTTTACAAAATCTCCAAATGTTTCTGTTGACCTCAAAAAATACGTTAATAGAATTCTGATCACCTCCCCTCCACTTAGACGTTATATGCACACTCGAACACTCTGTTAGGAGGTAAAGACCGCTGTTGAGAAAAAGGTTTGATGACTGTTTACATTTCGACGATTAAATCAACGATGAGACGAAGATATAATATGGGTGCAAGAGAAAGGATAAAGGGATTTGGTTAGGGCTAGATAAAACATACATTGGTTGTGAATGAACTCACGTGTATATATAGGAGGCAAATGGGTCAAGTGAGCTAGTGGGTTGAACCCAAGCTTAGGCCCAAAAATAGGTTGCTTGATTAAATATGTCAAATACAATTAAATAATCGATGCCGAGTTGGGGCCCTCTCCATTACGTACATGCTACGTAATTTCTAGATATAACAATTGTTGACCCCAAAAAATGGTCATATGACATGGCCAACAGAAAATTAGAAACTCAAGTTTTTGTAGATCGAATCGCAATATGCTCGAATCCAACTACTAGCTATATTGATGAATCAACATAGGGAATGGTTCACAGCATTTTGCAGGTTGTTATTTTTGGTTGTATGATGCATAAAAAGGGGGTCGGCCTTCGGGTGTAGTAGAGAGAATCAAGGTTTACATTTGATGTGTAAATTTGCATTGTCCCCTTTAACGTATGACGTGTAGGCTTTTTATATCTCATGTTGAGTCAGCGGGGCCTATTCGATGGTAAAAGATCTAACGATCCTTATTAGAGTCAATCAATCAATCAAGTTATTAATGCGTAGATCCCCTTATCTTTTCCCGACATAGGATTTAACTGCGTAGGCGTGTAGAGACAGCACGACAGGGTGTTGTCTTGTCAATCATTTCATTAAGTCTGTTGTTGGTTAACTTACCACTTCGTCAGGAGCGAGCTGACGCCTCTGCCAATGGGTATCGAATGAGCAGCCTTCGGATTGGGCTGGCTTCGGCATATACAGGGTCGCCTGTTGCTATGCCACATGTGGGCTCGTCCGCTTGCCACATAACAATTATTTTTACAATTATTTATATGAGTACCATTAGTTTCCTAAGTCTCGGTATGATTATTCATATCTTCCATGAACTTTGAAGCCCGAAAAGCAATGGAATCGAAACCCTAACTCACATGCTAGAATCAGCATGGGGCTCCCCATTTTCTACTTGAACTCCATAAGACAGTGGGGCTTGCATCAATAAAGGTGGTTCTCTATCGCTTAGCTGATGTATGAGTCCCTCGTGTGAACTGTATGAAGGCAGAGCCCCTGTGTGGAAGAACTGTATTAGGGCAGAGCCCTTTACACGGACAAACTGTATTGAGGCATAGTAATTTGTATAGACGAACTGTATTAAGGGATAGCCCTTTGTGTGGACGAACTGTATGAAGGCATAGCCCTTTGTGCGGACGACCAGTATTAAGGTAGAGCCCTTGTGATGATTCGGTGAGTGCTGATTCCCAATGAGCGACAGCTGGATATTCTTGGTCATTTCCAATGCTCCAGCGACGTGGTCATTCAATGAGCAATGATGATGACATTTCATCCCGATCCAGGTATACGTGAGTTCGGGGCACGTATACTGCATGGGTTGATCTGGGCCTTTGATTCGAATTTTGAATGGGCCTCTTTTGGTTTCTGCGCAAACGATGGGGTGACAGGTGGATGGTTCAAATTAAATCGGTGCAACATCTAACGGTGGGGGGTTTATTAGGTAAACCTATAAAAGGTAGGAAAATTACACTTTTAGCCTTTTTTCACTTTTTCGAAAGTTTGAAATCTCAAGTGCAAAGGTTCTTCTCTCCGAGTCCAGCAACTTTCCGTTATCGCCGATGATCAACTGTTTACTTTGATTTCAAGGTTCTCAGGGATTCGATTTTTTTTAGGTTTTTGCGTAAGTATTTTTCCCTCGCTATACCAAGTTCTTCTTTTTTTCTTCTCTTTTATTTCGATGGCCTCTGAATTTGACAGGAGTGTAGGAGGGGACTCTCCTGGGGTAACCTTGGCATTGACCTATGCCGAGGTGGGAATTCCTTTGGTGGTACCCACTGGGCAACTTGAGGAGGTGGCGAGAGGTCCCACAGATGACAGCGCGAGGTGGGGGGCCTCTCTATGGCCAACGGATATTAAGGAAAACGAGCTTGAAGGTTTCGAGGATAGGTTTAGGATCCCTCAGGATGTCGAGCTGCTGGCACCGATTCAGGAGGAAAGAGCCTACTTTTCTAGGGAGGGATGTGTGGCAGTCAGCGAGGCAATCTTAAGTGAGGGATGAAGCTGGCATTACACCCTTTCTTTAGGATTATTCTTAGAGAGTACAATTTAGCTCCTACCCAATTAATACCGAATGCTTGGAGTCAGCTGGTGGGGCTTTTTTCCTCTGGAAGGATATAACACTTGGTGGGGATATGTCCCCACATGTCTTTCAAACCCTTTTTCAATCTCGGGCATCTAGTGGGGGAAGTAACTGTAAAGGGTGGTACTTTATGAATCCCTTGGGACCACATTTGCCCTTCATCCTGTGGACCCCTACCTCTATCAAAAATTGGAAGTCCTTCTGGTTTTGGGTCAGGGGTCCCTGTCAAACAATGGAAGGTTATGTGGTCCCAGAGATCGTCGTTCCGACCCAGTATCACTAGTATAGTAAGTCGAGCTCTTTTATTGTAGTATTTTGTCTAGTTTACTCGTCCTTTGTTCTCTTTTTCTAAAAGTGTGTTTCGTACATATGCGGTTGACCGATTTAAGCTTGAACCCTCTGAGTGGGCCACAATCTAAGCCATATACGGGCTTCCTTCAGAAAAGAGGTACTTTAAGAATGTTATCAGCAAAAGGACCCTTTTCGTGATTCATCAATTGATTGCTACCAAAGGGTAAGACGAGATGATCCTTCATTTTACCATTCTGTTCTTGGTGTGATTATTCTAAAATCTCCATATAGTTTGTAGGTTAACATGATAACAAAGAGCGGGTGAGGCCCACTCTGCTTCAGTTGAGGAGTCTTGGGGAGGCTCAAGGGAAAAAACCTATCGGTGTTGGCGAGATGAACTGGCTCGCCTTTCCAAAACCAAACCATCCCCTCCCGTTGAGAAGGAGGGAGAGAAACTGAAGGAAAAGGAAGCGGAGGCCTCGTCAAATCAACCTCTAAAGAGGAAACTGGTGATCAAGAAAAATACTGGCCCCGACCTCACTCGTAAACGACAAACTACTATTGGGGAGTCCTTCGCCAAGCCTATTCTTGTGGAGCTGATCTCCTCTCTGAAGGTTACTCAGGCAGAAGAGGCGGTTGAGGAGGGGATCGACCTTGTGAGGAAGAAGAAAGGAAGAAAGGAGGTGATGCGAGAAGTGCCCAATTCGGGGAAAAATTCAGAATTTTTTGGTTGGACGATCAGATGAAATAGCTCCAACAGTTATGGAGATGCTTTTCTCAGAGGTCTAAGGCGCAGCGATGCTCAACCATAAGTATTGGACTGACGCATATTCTTCTCACGCTGATACCTACAAAATAGTCGATCTGATAGAGGCCAGACTTGCCATGCAGGCTCTCTTCCAAAATTTCTTTATAAGTGCTCAAATGGAATCACGGTGTATGCAAGGGCTTGTCTAGGATTACCATAACTGAGTCCAAAATGTCGAGGTTGGCATACTCAAGGCTAATGTTGTGTCCTCCACTACGAATAAATTCGTTGAAGCCTCTAGATTGAAGTGCATCGAGGCTGAAAGTAAGGTAGAGGCTCTCTTCAAGGAGCTGAAAAGGAGAAACATTTATGGAAATCCGAGGTGGCTACCCTGACAAAGTGGGTCGAAAATTCTAATGCCCTTCAAAAGATTGCTTCTTCAGCCTTGGAGGCTGCCAACAAGGAAAAGGGTGAGCTGAAGGTTCAAGTTGATGAGCTCAACACTAAAGTCTCCAGCCTCAGCGAGCAGTTGAAGTGGGCAAGGGAGGCAGGGGTGGATGAATATGTTGCCTACTTCCATGAAACCGTAGAGCATGAAGGGGCTCGAGATCCACTTTAGGAGGGCTGCTTATAATGAGGTTTTTGATAGGCTCTCCAAGCTCCACCCTCAACTGGACTTGGTTGCCTTGAAAGGGGAGTTCCTTCATGCCGAGCCTTCTACTCCCGCTAACGAGGTTGGGGATTCAGTTGAGGAGATCGACCCCCTGAAGGGGAAAGTCAGCCAGGGAAAGCTGTTTCTTAGGATAGAATTTGTATTTGCCTTAGCTTCTTTTCTCTTATATTTTGAAAGTTTTGACAATGCAATGTAACTCGTCTTTTCGTTCTAGTAGTCTTTTCATTATGAGTTCTTCGAACCAATAATTAATGAACTTATTGACGAATCACAAAGCATAACTAACTTACTGATACCAACTTCACGGCTCGTCATAACTTTCAAAAAATTATCCCCGAAGGATGGGGTCGCCACGTCGTCGACATATAAGCTTGTCACTTTAATAACTTATGACCTTATCACAATTAGTCAATTTGATGG